ATTTGGTTATGCATTGCTTTGAGTTTATTGATTTGAAGTAGTGATTTTATCTTGGGATCTAGCTTGGACATGAGATTCCTTGTCTTTTTCTCCTTGAGTTTCTTCTTCTTCTGCTACCTCTTCATCTCCAGCGAAGAACTATGCAATTTCATCATCAGTAATAGGTTCATCATCATCGAGAAAATCATCAGTGAATTTAATAATTTTTTGAGAAGAGTCACTAGGGATATCATCCTTCTGCCTTTCATCATCACTAGCCCTCTTGGTTCCAATTTGGAGTATCTCTTAATTTTTCTCAGTCTGGGGAATAAATTCTTTTTTAGACTGAACAGTTGTATCATGTTGGTTAACTGCGGACGAAGACCCTTTGCTGAAAAGTTTGTTGCTAGCCAAGGGATGGTACAAAGCATTACCATTGTTGGGAAGAACATCAGTCTTGTTAAGAGACTCGGTGGGAGTTGGTTGATTTTCCTACAAAATAAAAGGAAACATTAGTTCGAATAAAAGAACAATGATGATCAAAAAACAATAACGAATAAAAGTTACACCTTTAGTCCATCAGGACTTAAGTTGTCACTTTCGAATCGCTCCAGGATAATTCCTCCAGATGGTTGGGACATGCTTTTCTCTTTGGGATTTGGGGGCAGTACAATGAGCTCAGGCTTTTGCTTGGGTAGCTATAAAGAGGTTGCATCTGAAGTTTTTGCTTTCTTCTTCTTTGTATTCTTAGTTTGTAAAGGAGTGGGAGGGGTGTCCTCATCATCTTCGACCTCCACTGGAATGTCATGGGTAGACTTTCTTTTGTGTGGAGATTTTGGAGGTAATTAACTAGCCTGAAAGGGTATTGCTGTTAGAAAAGTGATGTAATACAAAAAGCAAATAAAATTTGGAATGATACATTTGTTGCCTTCGATTTTTTGGTGTCTGGGATAGCATTTTTTGTTGAAGTGTTGGCTGGTTTGGAAGCTTCAGTTGAACCTGTCTTTGAAATAGGTTGTTCCTTTTTGTTGGTTTTCCTTTTGACCGCTATAATAATGTACATGATAGCATTGGTTAGTACCGGGTACAAAAGAAACAACAAAGGTAATCGAAAGGACCAAGGAAATTTGTTGGTTCCACACCTTCATCTGTCGGAGAAAGACTGGAGATAGCTGACAAGTCATAGTGAAGGAAGCCATTGAAACTGTCCAAGGTATGCTTAGTCGAAACCACTCGTTTAGGAGGTTTTGAGACACTTGTTTTAAAATTTAAGGTAATCCCCACAAATGAACCAGTTTGGGTAAGGATGATAAAAGGCCAAGCCAAAGTTAGCACTAGGCAATTTGGGAATTTTGGTGGTTAGAGTTTGAAGGCTAAGTCATATCTTTCCTCAGGTTTAACACAAGAAAGGATGTATAAATAAGGAAGTTTTTTGGTAAATTTCTCTTTTAAAATTTGAGTTGCGTTGAAAGTGGTTCGACTAAGGTTAGTTGGATCATAGGCAGTTTCAAAGTACTTTTGGAATGCATGGATTTCCTTGATATGCATGTGCTTACCTTTATGGCTCATGTCCTGCATATATGCAAAATCTTTCGTCAGATGTTGGCTGAGAAAAATGATGTTGAACATATTCTTTAAATAAAATTCTTTCGACCAAATATCAAAACCCTTCGAGCAATATAAAGATGTTTGGAATGGGATTAAACTCTGCAAAGTTGACATGATAAGCAATATGTTTTTCCAAATGTGAGAAAAAGAACGTCATTCCTGCTGTGCAAAGTTCACGTTTCCTTCCAAAGATAGGCTCAGGGATCAGTTGGCAAAGTCCAAATTGTCGAGACACGAAATTTAGTTGATAGGCAAGCATGCATATGTTGCTTTTCATAGGCATGATCCTTGAAATAATCAGCCTAGGAACTAAAAATCTCTTTAGATGTCAACAATATTTGTATCTTCAAGAGAAATATCGAAGAGAGATTTAGTGAAGCATTCAGGGCCATGAGTCCTATTAGTAAAAGGAGCCATCAAAGGACTAAAGATATGATGTTTAGAAAACATCATGACATACTTAGTGAAGCACTCCCCAAAGTTCTTTGCATCATCATTAGGAGTCAGTCGAAACAGTCTTGTTTCTTCAACAGTTTGAGTTTGAATTTTAGGATCTTTGTCGTCCATTATGACAAAAGTATTGAGAGATGGTTCGAATGTTGCATTAAGCCACAATCGGAGAAGCCAATATGGGCCAGATAGGAGTAAGTTTGTGTCTGCCTTGTATCCTTTCAGTTTGGAAGTGGCAAACCCAAGGCTTTCATATAACCCTGTGAGAATTAACTCGCTGAGACACACTTTTTGACCAGAGTGAAGTTGGTTTGCTAAAGTAAGTAATCTTTTTGCAACTTGTAAGGATTTACATAAAAAAATGCACCTAGATAGCCAAAGAGCAAGGAAAGCTGCATGCTTAAAATCAGACACTTCGCCTCCTTGAGCATGGTAAAGATTAATGTATTTGGTAAAGGTGGCATTCTCAACGACAAAGTTGATGGTGTTCTCTTCTTGTTGATAAGGGTCAGAGGTCTCTCCAATTGGTGGGAGTCCAGTGATAGCAGCGACATCGAAGAGAGTGGGAGTTATCATTCCGCAAGGAAGATGAAAGGTATTATACGTATTATCCTAGAAATATAATAAGGACGTCAACATAGGTTGGAAATAGCTAAAACTTATTTTCGACATTTGAATTAAGTCGAAAATGCCTAAGTCTTTCCAGGCTTCGGTTTTTTCTTTTCGACTTTAGCTAGCCAAGCAAGATATTGTTTATCTGCTACAGGATAATACCTAAAAGGTCTAAAATTTACATAGTCAAATTAAAAGGGTTTGTCTTCAGTTACAGGAACTGAGAGAGGTTATTTTTAAGTTTTTTCTACAAACAATTATGTTAAATGTTTATCCGAATTGTTATCTTTCCTCTTATGAGGTCCAACTTTGTTAATAATGGATTTTGTGTCATGATAAACTGGAAAAATTTCCTTAATCTGCTCTAAACATTTAGAGGATAACATAGGACCCATATACCTTAAGGTTTTATCAACAAGGGTGAAAGGGATTATTACTTGAGAAACGTAAATAGCTTGTTGTTCAGCAGAAACCTGTGGTGTTGGAACTAGTTCTTGATTTCCAATAAGAAGCGGTTTTGTGATATGATCAATCGGTTGGAATACAGCATCGTCGATGTTCTTCATTTCCTTGTTCTTCGTATTTTTGTCAGATTTGCTACCTTTTTTGGTTGGTGCCATGGTTGAAAGTTCAAATATTTGGATGATTGAAGGTTTTTGAGAAAGAGAAACTGAAAATAGCGTGAGTTTTTGAAATTAGAAGTCAAGAAGATGGAAAAAGTGTGTTTGAGGAAGAAGAAAGTATTTATAGTTGGAAATTATTCAGTTTATATATTAAATGCTTTTGTTAGTGGGACACATGGTGGTTTTTTATAAGTTAATGAGAAAGGTTGCTTGTTTAAAAGCCACATTTGGAACCTACTTTGGTAGCAATGATGGAAATGCTACAGGCACGTCTTAATTAGACGTTTTGGAAAAGTAAAATCATGATTGTTTTTGACGTCATAGCAGTTAATGTTTATCATGAAGATTGTTTGTCCGTCGAAATATGATTGTTTTGCAAAAAATGTATGTTTCTCCAAGTATGTCGAAACACACATTTATTAGGGATAATTTGTTGACTGTGAATTTCGACTGCATGAGCTTTTAAGTTGAAAATGATACATATTTGAAGAAATGTAGTTTGAAAGGTACCATGAAATATATTTTATGAAGATTTCAATAGGAAAAGCCAAAAAGAGCTTCATTTTGCTAAGTGTTGGCGAAAGGTTCATTTGTGAACCGTTGGAACTTAAGTTATTCGAAGTATCATCAGAAAGGATATTTCGACTGTCATGTTTGTATTATTTGGAGCTTCGAAGGCAAAAGGGTTTTTCAAATTTGAAAGTTTGATCTTATCCAAAGGGATGCGTGGAAGCATAAGGTTCGAAGGCGCATGCAGATATCAAACGTGACAATATCTTATAAAGAGGTCGTTTTGGTAGAATTAGTATAAATTAGGGTCTTAGCGTTAGGATTCCGTGTGTTCACATCTTTGTACAAATTACTCTAAATTACTCTAAATTACTCAAAGTACCAGCGTTCGAGAAACGAGTTGTGAGAATGTACGTATGATGTATCAATTTTACCTTTATTGTCATTCAATTTTAATTGAAGTTTTATATATGCCTTTTAAGTTTAAGTCGAAAGTCTTTTACATACTAGTTTTTTCTTTAAAGCATTATATTACTACATTCGAAATAACAATCAAAATTAGTATTGTTTAAAAGATTAAAAATGCTATCGAAAATATTCTTTGTTTTCAAAAATAGAAGTTTGAATAAAAACACATGTACTTAGGATCAATCTGGTTGATTCTGCAAGTCACTAATCTTTTCTTTGATTTGAAAGACCAGCAATTATTTACCAAATTTCACGGTAAATAAGAGATTAGTTTCATTAAAATATATATGAACATGTTCTTCAATAGTAAGAGTTCTTTTATTAAATACTCTATAGGACTTACTAGAGAGAGAATAACAAAAAAAATACCTTCATCAGATTCAACATCAAAATTTTCACAATTATCTTTTTCATTAATAAAAACAAAATATTTACTTTCAAATATGTAAGTGAGAAATGTTAGGTGATGACACTCGGTGATCATGAAATTTTAATACTCATTTATTTTGAGCTATTATTAGTATAATTAGCCTTAGTTTTAGTGAATAAATTAGTAGTATTTGAAAATCGGAGAAAAAAAGGTAAAGAGAAAAATATTAAAGAAATTGTGAAGAAAATAGATATTAGCCCTTGGAAAAATCTTTCCAAATCAGCACACAAATCTAGAAAAAAAATCAGCAAATTGTGATAGGATCAAAAGCATAGTGACACGATTTTGGACGCGTTCAAATTTCTTTAAAAGGCAAGAAGTCAAATTTTTTTAGGGTTGGCATTTTTAACATTATTTATGTTGGCAAGGAAGTGCAAGGCAGCTCTGGAACAAAGTTTTTCACCATTGAAAATCAAATTCTATTCCGAGTTTCATGTTTTTCTAAAAACATATTGCTATGAATTTCTATACCATGAATAGTTTTCTTTTAGACAGTGGCGGAGTTAGAAAACTTATGAAGCTTGGGCAAGTTATAATTTAGAGAGAAAAATTATTAAAAAAAAACAAAATTTATATAATTGCAGTAGGAAAAAAAACATGTTATGGTAGAAACTAAAGTTTACATACATGTTTTCACTGGTTTTTTGCAACACGCCTTCAACTATCAAGTGAATGTCAGCCTCAGTAGAAGTTTTATTCAAAAATTTTGAGGCCTTAATTAAGTCTTGACTATAATGAGGCTCACTTTCAATTTTCTTGAGTGACACTATCATTTATGCAAAGACATAACATTTCAACAAAACACACCATAAACAAAGTTGTCATTTTCCTAAAAATTGATCAAAACAATGCATTCATCACAAATGCCATATACCCTAATTACTGAATACCCCACTATAAACAGCATATTTCTTTTGCAATAAAAAAGGAAGCAATAAACTAATAACATCCAAACTATCACAAAAATAATAATATTTGATATATTTCATCGTCAACCAAAACAAAGTAATCCATACCAGTTGCAGCCATAATTCTCTCATTGATCTTTTTCCTTATTGTGTGATGAATAACAAGCTCCCCTCGGACATATTTTGGAAGCAACTTAACATCCCTAGCCTGCAATAACAGCACAACAAATCCATTACTACTAAATAATTAGTATACTGATATTGTAACCCATATTTTTTTCACAATTTCTACATACACATTTTCACACACAGTACAGAGGCGTTGCACCATAATTTATATTCAAAAGTTCTAAAAAAGCTCTCTTTTATTTTAACCAACTTAACTCAAACTTTCAAGCACCAATGTTACAAACAATTTACAACAAAAATCCAAATTCACATTCATCACAAATCTCTTATAGTAACATCAAGCTTCCCTGTGTTATATCATAAACATCACCGCTTTTTTTTCATACAAAAGTCATCATTTTTTTTTGTAACCGGTATAAAATCAAGGGATTATATAGAAACCAAAAACTCACTCATAGTTTCATACCTACATAACAACAAGCCAATCATAAAGTAATAACAATAATCATAACTATTCTTGCCTAAGTTTGTTTTTTGCAGAAAGAATATTGAAAAACAAGAACAGGAAAAGAAACCGAAGTCTCTCCGACAATGAAGAGGAAAAGGGGCAGATCGGATCCTCCGCGATTCCAAGACACAAATCATTGTCAACTGCAATGACGCAGCTCCTCGGGCCATCGCAACCGCTCACACTATTCTCCGGCGGACAACCTCCATCACGCAGTGAATCCACCGCCGAACAACGAGACTAAATCGCATACCACTTTTTGGGGTGATTGGTTGTCGAATCTTGAAGTGGTGGTGGTGCGGGATGGTGAAGTATGGCTGGGCAGAGCCTGGAAAGCTGCCCTACCTGGCCGGACGCTGGCTCCGCCACTGGATTAAGTTTTATGTGATGAAAATATTTTGTTCCGTTGCAAAATTCAATAATAAATATCAGTTCTGGTTTTTTTTAAATAAAATAATCTATCAATGAGCCTACGATAAAAACTTGGAACAAATAAAGAAATTCATGATGTAGAATGAAACTTTAGACTTGGATCCATAGGTGTAGAATATGTTTTAGAAACAAGTAAACCAATATCATGAAGAAGATCTTAGGAATATTTCCTTTGACCAAAGGAAATACCACTCTAACATGTTGAATATCATTAAAATCATTTCTAGTTAAAACCAAGTCATGTTCATAAGTCAAAATAGTTGTAAAAATTTTGAACTCGTGTATAGTAAATATGGAACAATCTTACTTAGACTCTTTCAAGCCTAAATCTAAAAGGATAGGAGTTACATTTCATTGGTTAATGACTTGTTTAAGGCCATATATGAAATTGCTAAATTTATAGACAATATTCTTATTAGGGTAATCAAGGACATGATTTATTTTTATATATACTTCATCATTCAAATCTCTGTTCAGAAAATGTTGTGTTGGCGGATATTTGGTGTAAACACCAACCTTGTGAGCGTCCAAGGGTTAAAAGGATACAAATGGTTACATGGCTAAAAGTTTCAAGATAGGGAATGCCTTAGTTTTAGTGAAGCATTTGGCTACCAATTGAGGCCAGATTGGGGCTGTTATATGGAATTATGAATGAATCATGAATATGCTTGAACTTGTTTGTAGTTTTGGGAATTCAATGACAATACTTTTATCTTCCAAATTTATTTTGAAGTTCCGAGTCTTTCCTCCAATATTTCCCTTAAATTCCTTTGTATGAATTCAAATGGTCATGATATGAATCCATAATATTTGCAAGGTAATCAAAAGTGAATTGAATCTTGAATGAAATCTTGATGGTAAACGAATGAACATGCCCCACAAATATCTTGTAACTTAAATCCCAAGAAAACCAAATACATATCCCTTCCAATTTCACAAGCTATAAACACTTTGATTCATTTGAATCAAAAGAATCTCTTTGAATGAATCTTGAGAAATGATGAGTGCATTTGAACCAATTTGAACCTAACGACATCTCTCGAATGAATCTCCAAATCATTTCCAATGAGACCTTAATTTCAAGTCTTCAATTCATGGTAACTTACAATTCAATCCAATAGTATTTGATAGAACAATGACGCCTTAAGAATTTTGGTCCAAAATCCACTTTTGCCCAATAATCACCAAATGCTCGGACATAAGTAACTTGAAGAAGCAACAAACATTTAAAGAATTTCAAACTCGGCATCTTGTACCATGAACGATGTTACCATAAGATTCAATGTATCAAGAAAAATAATTATGGCACGACTTGAAATTAGAAGTTAAGGACATTCTAAATCGAGAAAATAACCTATAATGTTTCAAGAGATTCCCTGGCCCTCTGAGCATAATTTGACTTTGATCTTTGAAGTAATATCATAGACATTGCTATTCATGATACTTTGCAAATAGAATCGCTTGAGGACATTAAGAATTGAAGAAGTTATGAACCTCGAAAATTGGATAAAAGTTTCTTGTGATTAGGTCAGATTTGCAAAATGACCTCTAAAGTATTCGAATTTTCTGAAGATCTTTTGCACGTAATCAGCTCTTGACTTGTAAAGAGAAATTGGGGATGACGTCAAGGAGAGTCATACGCAAAAAGAAACTCTAAAAAATATCGAATAATGAAGAAGTTACAATCGTTTGAACTTGATCTTGAAAAGGTCGAATTTTGGGTCAATGTAGTTCATTTTCAGCCATCTGCACCATTGACTAAGCAAACTTGTGATGTGAGGATTGAAACTTGGCACAAGCATCCTTGAGAATACATGAAGAACCATGAAGACCGTTTGAAACTTTGCAAACTCAATTTTGCTTGAAAAATAACAAACCCTAATTTTTGACTCACCGCCTAGGAGGGGAATTTGTCTGATCCAATCTTGATCCAATTTGAGTATTCGAGAAATCCTAGGATAGTATCATGAATGAAAAATGGGAGGGAAAATTTTGGGGTACAATAGTGAAAATGAGGGATTTAAGGAGTATGCACAAAAGTGGAGGGATCTCGCTGGTAGGGTCCAACCACCACTCACTGACAGAGAATTAATTGACATGTTCATGGGTACATTGACTGGCCCATTTTTCAACTTATTGATTGGCAGTTCCTCATCTAGTTTCACCGAGTTAATACTGATTGGTGGAAGGGTAGAAAGCGACATTAAGAGCGTAAAAATCCAATTGACATCTGCTTCCACTTCCAACACTGTAAAGAAGCCTTTCACTGGAAAAAAAGAAGAAAATGTTGTGTATGGGGCAAGGTCCCACGCCAAGAAGGATCATCGACCCTCTGTCAAAGATGTGTTAATATCCAACCCTCCATCAGCTCAAAGGAAATCATTCAACAACGAACGACCCGGAATTCCATGAAGACAATTCACAAAGATTAGCATGTCACTGTCTCAAGCCTTGCAACATCTGTTGAAGGCCAATCTAGTGACACTACGTGATCAACCATCCAATTTAAACATTTCATCACCGAAATACAATGTGAATGCCAAGTGCGCGTATCATTCAAACAATCCTTGGAATGAAATCGATCAGTGCTGGGCTCTGAAAAATAAGATTCAAGATCTGATAGACAATAAGACGATTGAATTTGATTCCCTACTGCTCCTAATGTGATAACTGCACCGATGCCAAACCATGGAAAAGTTGTTAATGCAATTGATAATACCATTTATGTTTCCTCCATCGAAGACTTAACAACTTTGTTTACTATTGTGAAAGATAACTTACTAAGAGTCGGGGTGTTCCCTGGTTGTTCTAAAGATCGTATCTACTGTGATCAACAAGTGAGTGGGTGCAAGCGATTGAAGGAAGGTGTGCAATGCTTGGTAAATAGTCACGAGATTCTGTTTGAAAATATTCCTGCCATCAAGAGTTTGACCAACAGAATTGAAGACTTATCTGTAATAACAATTTCCAATAATCCTTTTAGAATCCCGTCAAAGGGTCCTATTAGGATTTCAAATGAACCAACCATCACCCCTTTAATAATCATTGCCGCTGGGCCCATCCCCTATTCCTCTGACAAAGTAGTTCCATGGAACTATGATGCTGAGGATTATTACCACGGATAAAACAAGATTCTTGGATCGACAAAAATAAATATGATGTCACCAACATTGTCGGTTCTAGTAAAGTGACGAGAACAAGGAGGATCTTTTCCCCTGATATTTCACCACCCGTTTCTACAACGATTCCCGCCCGCATAACAAATAACAAGTCCAATACCAAAACTAAAGACAAAGAGAGAGAAGGTGAGCCTTCTAGGATAGAGGAACCTACCAAAGAGGCTAATGATGAAGAACCATCCAATCAAGAGATGGAGGAAATCCTAAAAATTATAAAGAAAAGTGACTTTAAAATAGTGGAGCAGCTGGGGAAAACCCCTTCTAAAATTTCCATGTTATCATTATTACTTTGCTCGGACGTTCATGCCCAAGCCCTGATAAAGTTCTTGAAGAAGGCCCACGTGACCCAAGAAACCACCACTGACCAGTTTGAGAATTGTGTGGCAAGTTTAACGGCCGATACTGGATTAGGATTCTCTAATGCCGATCTGACTCCTATGGGAATAAATTACAACAAAGCCATACATATCTCTATTAAATGCAAGGGAACCACCCTAGTTCATTTATTAGTTGATACTAGATCATCGTCAAATGTGCTACCCAAGGGTGCTTTGGATCAGCTGGATTGTGAAGGACTGGTTTTAAAGACAAGCGATATTGTCGTGAGGGCTTTTGATTGGACTAAGAGACTGGTTCATGGAGAGGTAGGTCTCCCAATTAAAGTTGTCTCACATACTTTCAAATCTACCTTTTACATAATAGGCATACGTCCCACCTATTCTTGTCTGCTTGGACGCCCTTGGATCCATGGGGCACGGGAAGTGACACTCACCCTTTGTCAAAAACTAAAGTATCCAGTCAAAGGAAAGATCGGTACTGTTAGCAGTGAAGAAGAATTTATGGTGAGCCATCTTAATTCCTTTAAATATGTGGAAATTGATGGCGAATTCATAGAAACTCTATGCCAGGCCTTTGAAATTGTTCCTCCTATGGTTGCTGCCACCAAAGCCTCCTCCAACATGTCAAAAGCTGATAAAGTTGTACCAAGAATGATTTCACTCAAGGATGCCCGTGTAGTGGTCAAGAAGGGAGACTGTACTATCTTAGGACAGCTACCCGACATCCCGTTTAAAACAGACAAATTCAGATTGGGTTTCACGATTCAAGCTCAAAAAGAGGTTAGGCGTGCTCACATGGGAAAAATAACTCTCTGCATCAGAAATCATGAAGTAAATGCTGTAGAAGATTCTGATGATGAATGCCCTTTTGAAGAACGGATCTACCCTACTGTCAAAGGAAAACTCACCAACTGACAGGAAAAAGAATTCACACCCATCTCCTTCACAAAGGAGTAATTACTATTTACCATTTTCTGCCAATTCAAGAATTTCTGTCTGTAACTTTAAATTCCAAAGCAATGACTTTTAAGCCATGTGCCTTACCCGGGGAACTTTGGTCTATTTTGTTAAAGGGTTTTGTTCATGTTCATATATCATATAATAATTTAATATAAGCCATGGGACCTGTTGGCATTCAAATTTCCGCGTTCATTGTCTTTCTTTCCCTTTATTTCATTTTTTCAAATATCCATGTACCGTACACACACACACACATACACACACTTGCAGATCTTCATCAACTCTGGATCTCATTGCCCATGACTCTACTATTGCCAGTTATGACTTCGAATATCAATTAACCAAGCCGGAGACGAAAGCAGGGAAGGTTGTGAAATACCAAGAGAACTATCCAGACTTCTATGCAAGAAGAGAATGCTATTCAACCACACGAAGAGTCGATCGAAGTTATCAACTTAGGCACAGAGACAGATAAAAGAGAGGTCAAGATCAGAGCCAACCTAAAAAATGGTATTAAAAGCAGATTGGTTCAGATGTTACATGACTATATTGAAGTGTTTTCTTGGTCATATGAAGATATGCTCGGGTTGGATACTGACATTGTGGTGCATCGTTTACCAACGAAGGTAGATTGCCCTCCTATTAAGCAAAAGGTTCGTCGCATGCGGCCTGACATGTCTGAAAAGAAAATCCGAGGTAATGAAGCAGTTTGATGCAGGTTTTCTAGCCGTTACATCTTATCCTCAATGGGTGGAAAACGTGGTTCCTATGCCAAAGAAGGATGGAAAGGTTCGCATGTGTGTGGACTATAGAGATCTGAATAGGGCATGCCTCAAGGATGATTTCCCTCTACCACATATTAACGTCTTGGTTGACAACACCGCTCAACACAAAGTATTCTCCTTCATGGATGGATTTTATGGATACAACCAAATCAAGATGGCTCTCGAAGATATGGAAAACACCAGCTTTGTCACACAATGGGGCACCTTTTTCTACAAGGTTATGCCATTCAGATTAAAAAATGCAGGGGCAACATATCAAAGGGCTATGGTAGCCTTATTTCATTATATGATTCATAATGAAATAGAAGTCTATGTGAGTGATATGATTGCAAGGTCGCAAACCAAAGAAGAGCGTCTCGATCACCTACACAAGCTATTTGAGAGGATAAAGAAGTACAAATTGAGGATGAACCCTAACAAATGCATATTCGGAGTAAGGTCTGGAAAGCTTCTAGGTTTCATCGTCAGTGGCAAAGGTATCAAAGTTAATCCTGCAAAAGTAAAGGCCATTCAAGAAATGCCAGTCCCTCATTCTGAAAAAGAGGTCAGACGATTCATGGGTCGTCTTAATTACATTGCTCGCTTCATATCAAAATTAACTGCTACTTGTGAGCCAATCTTCAAGCTCTTGAAGAAAGATCAAGTAGTCAAATGGAACGACGATTGCCAAGCTACCTTCAACAAAATCAAGGAATATTTGCAAGAGCCTCCTATCCTTATGCCTCCAGTTGAGGGAAGACCTTTGATCATGTACTTGATTGTTCTAGAGAATTCTATGGGGTGTGTGTTGGGCCAACATGACGAGTCTGGACAAAAAGAGCATGCAATTTACTACCTGAGCAAAAAGTTTATCGACTTTGAAACCAGATATACACTACTCGAGAAAACTTGTTGCGCTCTGGCCTGGGCTGCTCGCCGGCTAAGACAGTATATGCTTACTCACACCATTCTATTGATCTCTAAAATGGACCCTATCAAATACATCTT